GTCCAGACTTGTTGTATAAGGCCTTATGAAGCCCGAAACCCGTCTAAACCTTAAACAGTTAGAGTCTTTTAGGTCTTAGTAAGCCCCAGACGAAAACCAAGCCTACAGAAGCTCCTGAACGCCTTCTTAATATGAAGGGTTGGGTCGAGGTGTTTACTGGCGGCAATCCTGGCAGCTTACTGGGCCTCTCCGGTGGTCGGAGCTTGGCCAGGCCTGACATGGCTGAGAAAGAGGCGGGAGCCTGCTTTTGTTTTGTCTGTGTTTTAAGGCGTCTTACTTTGTGCCCTTTAGAGCTATTTTGTAGGGTGTTTAAGGTGAGGTGTAGTTCTAGATCTTTCATTCAAAGGCATTGATTCGGGTTACGGTTTGTTTGAGGATTTAGGGTTCAACATAGGTCAACGTTCTCTCTTGAAGTGTTCTGTCAGTGCAGTTAGGCTCGAGCGGTGCAGTTTCTACTGACGCTGGAGCAATTCGCTTTCAAGCAGCTCAAAACCATGAACTCTTGGGTCCCTAACCCGAAACATTCAACATGGTCCGAATTGCGAGAGTCCAAACCCTGAACTGGAGTGTTGGGCGTGCAGAACCTTGAGGATGCCCGATGCAAAAAGCCGTTGCACAGGGTCATACGACATTACATTATAGTATATCATTGTATATTGTAGTATATAGTTATAGTATAGTTAAAGTATATTATATATGGGAGTCAAGCCAAGTTCAGCTTCCCTGTCTGGCCTTTGCCTGAGCGGGAGTGCCGATGGTACGTGTCGATCCGAACAGTGCGGGGTTGTTGTCTTTCCGCCATGTGTTTAGGGCCGCAGAAGGTAGAAATGAATTTGAGGACTCCTGGCAATTGCTTCTAAGCTTCAAGTTCTACGAATGCCTCCAATAATTTCGTCCAATAGCGTAGTACTAACAGTAATAGTAATACTATTGACTATTATTCAGTAATGATAGCACTACTAGTAATAGTGAGATCGTGATAGTTCTTCATTCGCATTTTCATTTTCATTATCGTTATTATTATGAGAACTACTAATGAACAAGAGGTTAGCAAACTGCAAAGGTCCAGGCAGCAAGACAGATGTTCCTCCGCGCCGCGGAGAACTACAGCGATGCCAGGGCACTGTCCTGAGATCTGAGATGAGAGCTCACCCTAAACCCTGAACTGCTACTTAGGAGTGGAAAAAAGCCCTAAACCCCCAAGCCCCAACTTGCTAAGTAGGAGGAAATCCCTATATGAGCGGTTGAAAGATAGGATTTAGTGCGCCAGGACTTGGAGCTTCTACCTAGAGTCTCCACTGTGTTTCTTCTTTTGTTGTCACCCGCTTTGTGCCTGGGATCCTATAAGGAACATAGGAAGGTTTCGGAACTGTCGCCGGGATGCAAGGGAGCTGATTCTTTTTTTTTTCGGGTGCTTGTCGGCATCAGGTTCTCCCCACAGCTGAAGTAGTTCCCTCCTGGCTTGGTCGAGTCTCTACAGAAAGATAGCATTCTGTGGCGAAGGAAAGCACCGGAGTGCTCCTGAATCGCATGGCGCCTGAGATTGTGCAGGCGGCAAGGCAGCGACTGGAGGCGCGGATGCATGTTAGAACTGAGACCACAAGCAAAAACCACTGTATTGAGAATGACAATAGAAACTCTGGTAGTACCACTAAAGAATCATCATCAGAACGATAAGTCCCACAGTAGTACCCATTCTGGGGGTCTCCATATCCAAACCGTCGGGGGTCTCCATATCAAAACCGTTGGCTGCGGACTCTCGATGCTTATCCTTCACTGGTATAGCTAACAGAAAAGTGTATTGGTAAGAATAGCAACCTCCTCATCATCAGCATCATCGTCATCATCATCATCATCATCGCTCGTGGTTCTTAGTTCACGGCCACCCTGCCGGTATTGCAAGCCCGCATACTATAATATAGTATTTCTCGGTCATTCCTATCAAACTCATCAGTTGTCTGCTGATCGTGGCCGGGAGGCATTCATCCTTGTAGACGCTCCGCAACAAAGAAAGTGTCCATGCAATTGTGGCTTTCATTATGTCACAGATCTGCAAGTGCCTCAGCAATGGGTTAAGGGTTGGATCATGTCCCAGTATGTCAGCATATAGTGGTCCTTGCTTGGAACGAATCCTTTAGCATCAGATCATTGAATCATGTAAGTCGTAAGGTGCTTCTGTTCGCACCTGCTCGCAGCCACGGCTGCAGCATGGGGATCGTGTTGGAGGATATACTGGATGTGTGCATTTGATGGATGTTGTACCCGTTGCGCCGGGTTCTCCCAAACCGGGATTACGGCAGCTAACCGCTGTCGCAAAAGAATCGTTCTCCTG